TAGATCTTCTAACTGTTGTCGATTGGACAAATAAAACAAGGTACTAATTTTCCAACGCTCCAGAAAACATTACTCGGATGGATTGTATCTGGAAGATTCAAACATGCCGAAAGCCCCAATGCTAAAATTTGCAATCTAATAAGCTCAGATAAAGAAAAGTTGACAGATGACTGTTCCTTAAACTCTCTTGTGAAAAAATTCTGGTAATTGGAAGAAATTCCCAAGGAGCTCACTGTCAAAAAATACACAATAGAACAACAACACTGTGAGACCAAGTTTCTCAACACAATTTTACGCTTACCTTCAGGGAGGCTTAAGGTGCAGCTTCCTTTCAAGTCCAACCCCAACCTTCTAGGTCAGTCATATGAAACAGCAAAAAATCGTTTTCTCTCACTGGATCGCAGGTTGTCGAAAGACTGTATGCTTCAGAAGCTGTATATGGAGTTTATGGCAGAGTATCGTGACTTAGGTCACATGACATTAACTACAACTTTTCTTCGACACCTCATTACTATATACCGCATCAGTGTGTGTTGCGACCTCAGAGTACCTCGACAAAACTTCGCGTCGTGTTCGATGCTTCATGCCGAACATCTTCACAAGTGTCGTTGAACGACATTCTAATGGTTGGTCCAACGGTACAAGAAGAATTGTATTCAATCCTACTTCGCTTTCGTATGCACAAATACGCGATGACTGCTGACATTACAGAAATGTACCGTCAAATCGAAGTTGACGAGGCAGATCGCAATTTCCAGCTTATTCTCTGGAGGGAAAAACCTACGGATCAGATTAGCGTTTATAAACTGAACACAGTGACATATGGTACGTCACCTGCTCCTTTCTTGGCAACACGTTGCCTAAACTACTTAAGTGACCTGTACAAGAATTCTCATTCAGTTGGAGCAAGGGTTATCCGACATGACTTCTATGTCGATGACCTATTGACTGGTGCTGACAGTCTGAAAGAACTGGAAACAATTCGTACCCAATGTACTGAAATTCTTGATTCGGCTGGACTTAAATTAGCGAAATGGTTTTCAAACCATAAAACGTATGACTCGTCAGACTTCTTTCTAAATGTTAATAATACTGATTCCACAAAGGCGCTAGGTATACACTGGATTCCCCAGAATGATACGCTTAAGTTCCATGTAGACGAAAAGTTTCATGAATTGCGAGCAACAAAAAGAAACATACTATCAGTATCAGCTCGGCTCTTCGATCCCCTCGGACTAGTATGCCCAATAGTGACTAACGCAAAAATTTTATTGCAAGAACTTTGGCTTCAGAAGCTTGACTGGGATGAGTCAATTCCTATGCATCTCGATTCTAGCTGGCAAGCATTTAAAAGTAACCTGACTCAGATGGACTCTATTTCCATTCCGCGGTATGTTCATATTCATTCAAATATAAAATGCGATATTCACGGTTTCGCCGATGCGTCAATAAGAGCGTACGGCTGTTGCATCTACGTCCGAATCCATGATTCGAATGGGATTCATTCTGAGTTGTTAACTGCCAAATCTAAGGTTGCTTCTTTAAGCACAAAATCAGTACCCAGATTAGAGCTGTGTGCCGCTCATTTATTGGCTAAACTATGGTCTCGAATTCAGCCGTTGATTACTTGCGAAATCGGTGATGTTTATTTTTGGACGGACTCTGAAATTACACTTCATTGGATTAAAACTCACCCATCCACTTTAGCAACATTTGTAGCAAACAGAGTTGCAGAGATCCAAGAATGGACGAGCGAAGTTCTTTGGAGACACGTTCCATCAAAGCTAAATCCTGCAGACTTAGTCTCCAGAGGATGTAATGTAGATGAGTTGATTCACTCAATTTGGTTTCGTGGCCCATCATATTTGCTTTAAGATGCAACTAACTGGCCAAAAGATAGTCATTTTCCATTATCAATAGATGAAAAAAGTTTGGAGAAACGAAAGGTCAAGGTCGGACTTTTAGCAGTTGAAATTGAAACTAATGTCATTTCAAAACTAATCTGTAGCCAATCATCTTACCCAAGACTGCTGAGAATTTTCGCGTACATTCTACGTTTTATCACTAAGAAAAATGAGAGAGCCAACGCTCTTATTCCGACCACAAAGGAGCTTAATTGGGCATTCTTGAAAATCGTTGAATTCATTCAAAATCACGAATTCAGGGATGAGATCGAAAAAATGAAGAAGTCGCATAAATTGCCAGTTAGCATTCAGAAACTAACTCCGTTCATTCATACAGTCCAAGATGGTTCTCGAACATGCAATTTGCTTCGTGTAGGAGGTCGTCTACTAAACGCACCACTGTCTTATGATTCAAAATTTCCCTTGCTGTTACCTAAAAAATTGCATTTTGTCGAGATTTATTTACGATTTCTCCATACAACCAATTGTCATGCTGGTCCAAAAGCCTTAGAAGTGCTGCTTCGTGAAAAAATTTGGGTCATAAATTCAAGCAAGGCATGCAGTAAAACCGTAAGAGCATGCATACATTGTTTTCGACACAAACCTAAGCTGTTGACCTAAGTAATGGGAAACTTACCTGCAGATCAGTTAAAGGCACTACGACCCTTTTTAATTAGCGGTGTCGATTTTTGTGGGCCTGTATACACTACTTTGAAAATTCGTGGTCGACCACCAGTTAAAATGTATATCGCAGTGTTTGTTTGTTTCACGTCAAAGGCTATACATTTAGAACTTGTAACAGATCTGACAACTAACTGTTTTATTTTTTGTCTTAAAAGGTTTGCCGGAAGACGAGGACTATCAGAAAAAATCTATTGCGACAATGCGACAAATTTTGTAGGTGCCGATCGCAAGCTGAGAGAGCTGATAGAGGCGTTTCGAGAGCACAAGGACGATCTGGCATACTATGCTGCACAAAAGGGCATAGAGTTTGTCTTCATACCACCCAGGGCACCTCATTTCGGAGGATTATGGGAAGCGGCGGTAAAGTCGGCAAAACACCACATACAACGAACAACCAACAGTGCGCTCCTTACCAGCGAAGAACTGCAAACAGTGCTCATAGAGGTAGAAGCCCTGCTAAATTCTCGTCCACTCAGTCCATTGAGTCAAGACCCAAACGACAAAGAGGCGCTAACACCAGCACACCTGTTGATAGGAGGTACTCTTCACACGCTGCCGCAAGAATCCGCGCAAGGTGTCTCCGACAACAAATTGAGCACTTTGAAACGTTGGCGTCTGTTATGCGAGCTCAAACGGAGGTTTTGGCAGGCCTGGTCGAAAGATTACATCCTACAGCTGTAGCCCAAGAACAAGTGGGTGTTCGAGCAGCCGAATCTCGCAGTCGGCCCACTAGTCGTCGTCCAAGAAGACAACCTTCCCTCTCACCAGTGGAAGCTCGGAAGGGTGGAAGCCGTAATTACAGGTCGCGACAATAAGGTCAGGGTCGTTGACGTCAATACCAGCAACGGAATTCTGAGGCGTCCAGTTCACAAATTAGCGATGCTGCCGAAAAATTGAACACATAATCGTGCTTCAACGCGGCCGGTGTTGAATGTTTATATTTTTTTTCTATGTTTAATTTGCTTTCTTTTAAAAGTAGTTAAAATAACGCGCGTGCTGCTCATTTTTTTATGGTAAATATGCAACCCAATGTTGACTTTCGTCAACCTTGCACATATACGGTACTTCAAAATATAAAAACAATATTAATTTACAGTTTTTTGGCTTCACGATTGAACTAGCATTCTCGAACGCTCTCTTGCATTTCAAGTTCCAAATGCGTTTTATTTTTGATATTCTTTCTTTATATATTTTTATTTTATTACATTTCGAAGTGATTTTTTAAATTTCAATTTTTTAAATAAAGTGTGAATTAATTTCAATAAAATACAAACTGTTGTAATTTTTAGTTTTTTTTATAACTTCAACAAATACAAAAACTCTTGTATTTTTCACATGTACTCATACCATCAAAATATCAAACAAACAAAAAACAAGTATACATAGAGAATCGAAATGCTTTCAAAAACCAATACAAAATGAAAGTGATCTAATTTTTTGGTGCAACGCTTTGCTTTGCATTTTATGCAAAGACATTGCAGTGAAATTTTTATTTGCAAAGTGCAAAGTAAATTATGTTAAGTCTTTGGTGCAACGCTTTTCACTTTTACTTTGCAAAAAAAAGTCACTCATAAGTTTTGCAAAGTGAAAAGTGAAAAGTGTTGGTGCAACAGGGCCCTGATCTTATCACAGCGTATTGCTGAAGAGAAATCAAAAATTTATGTTGATGCGGCATAGCATTCGAAAAACAGCCAATTTTAATGAACCCACCTATTCCAATATATATTTAGATTTCAGTAAACCATTTATAATAACAAGAAATGCCTCTCACTATGGAAATTAATTTTATTTTTACTCTAGCGAGTTTTATAAAAAAGTCGACTTTATTATTTCATCGTTTCTTAAAAACTAAAGATACAGTTTAAAATTTTCTTATCCTAAGCCAATTGTATATATTAATTTGAAGTACTTAGCTACAATACAGTTTGTAGCTTAGCAAAACTACATGTTATTGTTTATAATAATAAGTAAAATTTATGGTGCTAAGCAATTTGTATATGAACTGATTTTGAGCCTTAAAGTCTCGATGCAGCTGTGTAAACAAAGAATATGCTGTATCAGCTATGTATTAATTGTAACGGGATTTTTAGATAAATTGTGTAGTGTATTGTGTAGTGTACATTTGAGGTACTTAACTTGTACTTGGTGCAGTTCTATGCAAAGGCGACATTGGTTAGCATGTCTTAAACAGACCGGTTATTAAGAAGGAACTTCTTGCAACACACTGAGGAAGAAAATACTTTAGACCGTATGTGAATGGCAAACATTTTCTCGATATACTGACCGCAGACCCTAAATTTCACATAGAAACCCGTCTTCAATAATGACTAGAATCCGTGTCAATCTGTTAGACTATGACTTTGAAATAAACAATAAGAAAGGAAAATAAACAGAAATGCTGATGCACTGTCTAGAATTAAAATAGATACTATTATTTCCAATCGCAAAATAAGCAATCCGGAAGATGATTTGTTTTCTTTGATTGGTTTATTTATTGAATCTCTCTGAATAGAAATTTTCAATAATTTTGCGAATTTTAAAATACTGACATACAGCTACAGCTATTGAACTAGGGTGTTCATATTTAACAATGATTTTCTTTTAAGGCGATTTAGTGCAATTGCGGAAAATAAGTGTGGAACATTAGGATTTGGATGCGACTTGAGTCACTCTCGGAATTTAGGTGTATATTGGTGAATAACTTATTCAACAGTTGGTAGATTTATGTCTTTGTGTAGGTTTTTATTTTTGACATACCGTGGAGCACATTTGTAGCGAACTATGCTTATTTACTATGTGAGTAAATAAGTATGCTGATATTTATTGTACCTTTATTGCATTCTTGCAATATGAGCCCCTACCGTCCGTTTGACGATAGTGTTTGGGCTGGCGTGTGAAGACGCCAATTCAGCAAATTCTCACAGTATGCTAATGCACACTGCTCCTCCAAATATGAACTTTGTATAAACATATTTTTAATGATTAAAGTCAGTCTTAAAACAGAACTCGGTTTTTAAATCACTACATGGCGACCGTGACAGGACGTTATAATAAATTATATTAAATTCATTGTGCACACATGATGACGAGTATGTGACTTCTAATCGCTAAAGCTATAGGTTATTCACGAGTTCGAGTAACGCGCTCGGTAACCGAGTAACGTATTAAAAGTGCAACGCAGCAACAACAAAATACATGTCTAGTAATGCGTTGCAATGTTACTACGTTAGTCAAGCATTTGCTTTGACTAACATTTGCGTTGCACTTTTACTCTTTTTTCAATGTTGCCATATTTCTTATACATAAGAAAAAATTTTACTCCGAAAATGTATTTATACTAAGCATTTCGTATGGGCAGCATTTAAAATTTATTTTGTTTTGTTGGTTTTGATTAATATTAAATATTTTGTTAAGTGAAGAGCAGGACATTTGGCAAAAGTAAGTTAATAAATTAAATATAATTTTTAAATTAAAATGATTTAATTTAGTGAATAATGTACAAACAAAAACACGGAAAAGAAAAAATCCAGTACGAAAATAATGGACAAATGAGGAAAATTTAAAAATATTAGAATATTTTCACCAGCAATCCATGATTGATTAGAAAAAAATCGATCTTTTTCTGTTAAAAGTATTGAGTTCGAGAAAACTTTAGCATCGTGAGTTAAGCCGGGATAACCAACAACAACATCTCTTATTCTTAATTTGTTATCACAAACAGCTTAAAGTTTAATGGAATAAATGTGATTTCTTGAAAAATATTTTTCATGATTAATTTGTGGGGCTTCTGCAATTTTTATTTCGGTGCCATCAATATAGCCAATGCAAAACGGTAATTCATTGTAC